GAAAGTCGATGACAAGAAAGGAGATATCAGTCTATATTTGCTATGTTTGAAAGGCCAAGCAGAATGGCTAAAAGTGATAAAGAAGAATTTGTATCTCATTACTAGGACTACTTCCTTACGAAGTAACCCAGTTAATAGCTAGAGAACCTCCGATAAGGCTAAAGACTATGAGCACGTGAAGATTATTGTTAAGACGGTTTAAACTAAGCCCGTAAAAGTTTAGGCAGAAATTTATGAAGCATCAAAAGAGTACCGAATCTACAGGGTGGATTTCAATTATGAAATAGAAATTATTGCAAGAATGGGTGTGACTGGTCTAGGAGTTAAGACTTTTGATCAGTTGCTAGATTTGATGGTGCTTGACCAACTAAACGTCGAGTTCCTCCTGAAATTCGAGATCATTTCTTGATGAATGGGTAGAGATGATTTCATCTAAAAAATTAGCTGAAAACTTGATGCCTATGAAACTTTGCGGAACTTTCAAAAAAGGCCTATAGTGGATCGGCAGAAAAGAAAGATACAATGCACTAACTCATGGTAAATTGAGTTCAGATAATAAAATAAAACTGAAAAAAAAATTGTCATCAGGATTTAATTCACAAAGCTGGTTTCATAGACCTAGAAGTCCACGTCCAGAAGATAAATATGAAAAACGAAAAATGCCACAATGCTATCAGTGTGGGTCCTATCAACATTTTAAGACCCCAATGTCCAAAACTAAGAATAGTACTGAAATCTTTGCTAATCTTAACAGAATTAGTGCACAAATCAGAGGAAAATTTCTATTACCTTATACTAGTAGGGTTTACGTAAATGGTCATAAAATTCCTATATTAAGGGATTCAGGTGCTAGTATTGATATAGTGTCGTCGCAATACATCACGCCGGAAATGCTGACAGGTGAAAATGTGTGGGTGCAACAGCCATTAGACTTGAATCCAACCTGTTTTACCATTGGCTGGGATCGAACTAAATTGCGATCTTGGGCGAGTAATAACTAAGGCTGCCATTATTAGAAATGAATCGACAAAGGAAGGTATTTATTAGGCAATCGAACTTTTGCACTGTGAATAAACAAAGAAAGGAACTTGATAATCATCCTTACAGGTAATCCGTCTCTAATAGATCTCAAAGGAAAAGAAAAATAGCTGAAGAGAAGATCTTGGAACCGATAAGAAGAAATAAATCCAGAGATGTTTTGAAGAAGTAAAATCACCGGAATTAACGTGAAAGATGTTCACGAAAAACTGGAAAACGATAAAGAAATTAATATTGAGAATTATTTGCAATGCAGCGTTATCATCATCTTTAGCTTTTGATTTAATATCAAAGCCGCTACTAATAGACGAAGAAAACAATTGTCGAAAGCAAAATGACAATTGAATATTTTCCGAAGGCACAGATGAACTGAGGAAAGGTTTTGCTGTGATTATAGCCGAGGAAACTGGGTCTAACATGGAAAGAGATTAGGGCCGTCAAGGAAAAAGGAAGACTAATTTGAAACACTGTCCATTTTCTTCCTATTTAAATGTGGTGTAAAATATTGTTTAAAACTTAAAAATTTTGGCTTGAAGTTTGGAAACTTATTAAAGAAGTTACCTTTTCTCTTTAAGCAAATGAGCAAGCCGGCTTATAAACTTTCGAAATTACAGAACTTTTCCCTTCGGAAAAAAAAAAAAAGTCTCTCCGTTGGGGGAGGGTTGTAAAACAGCTTTAAAATAATATTAAATCTTGTAGTTTAAATAATTTAATAGATGAACATTAAGGTATTTGTGAATGGCAATATTTGAAACCAGACTCGAGTGCCACGTGCGACCTCTCGCACGAAGAATGTAATTTATTTTTAAATGTTAGAATATGTTTTCTCTTTTTGTTTGTATGTCGCCATTTTGTTTGAGTGTTAAATAAAAGTTATTGCTGTGTTCCATCATTGGAGTTGCTTCATTTCGCCAAAGAAGCATCACAGCAGTGTCGTGCGCTGGAAATAAAAATATTTTTCCAGATGTTCCCCTGCATTCAGGTGGAATCGTACGTTATTCAAAATTGTGTTGCTCTAGTTACCGTCGTTTTATCACAATGCAAGAAACATACATATATATATTTATTGAGATTCTTCATTAATTAATATCTTTAAATATAATACATGACTGTAATATTTAGTGGCAACAGTTTGAAAAAAGGACCGACATTTAAAATTTTCAACGCAAAATGCCAAAACTTGCCTAAAACTAATTGCCTTTCTGGATTAACGCTCTTTGGGCTAAAAAAGAAAACTATCGCTGCATCCTTAAATTCGTGTCATCACGAAACGTTTTAGTAAAGCGAATTATTTTAGCAAACCTTGGAGATACACGCTAATCCTCTTGACGTGTTAGATGGTAACCGCGTACCATTTCATCTGACGAAGTTAATAGTCTACAAGTTGTTGCGAACACCGGTTGTTTGGTTTGAGGAATTTGTTAGTGCAAATGGCGATGTTACCATGTGTGCTGCAATCTAATCTGATGTATAAGCAGTTGTGTCAGAGGCGCACGAAATGTCGTCAGAAGAAAGTGTGAAAATGTCATCAGAAGGAAAGTGAGGTCATTTAGCTCACCCGCCAGGAAACGTTACATGCCTTGGACGCTGTAGAGCATTTTGAGGGATCTTGCGAATTGACCTCTAGTTTTACGAAAGCCATAAGTACAGCTGACTATAAAGTTATCAGTCATTATCACTCCTGCTTGCGATAGTAATGTGTATAAGAGCCACTTTCTCTTAGAAAGTCTTCCATGAATTCCCCTATAGCAGACAGCCCTAGTGTGCTTTGCCGTAATCAACTAAACCATTCCCGTCTGCAACAACGCAATATACATGATTTTTTTTTCAGAAAAATTGCAGCTGCAATGTTTTCTGCGAAAACAGAAAACATACGTGACATATTGTAGTACTTACTATGCACTATAATAACTAATGTGTAGAAAAATTGACTCCAAGTATAAAATTTGCGGTTAACACGGAACTTCAGTTAATACGAATTTATTTTAACTTGAACTTTTCATAATTCGGTCCCTTGAGATTCGTGTTAACGAGTATCAAGGGTTTACTATATACTATATTATATATCTATCTATTTATACATACATATATGGACATACATATTTAATTTCAGTATTATTAAGGAAACTGAGGTGTATATATAATAAATGAAATTTTTATTTAAGGATATTTTTAAATGACCTAAGTTCATCGTCAAAGCGAGTACAGAAAAGGATCGCCATGAATGTATTGTTATACTATTCTGCTCATACATGCAATATAGCTTGCAAGATATTATGACCAGAATTGCATTTTTCATTCTTCAATTACGAAAATCTTATCAGAACCTTCAAAAATCAAGGAGATATTTAACTCAAAAATTTAACCAATGAACATCGGTTTCAGCCATCGACGTTACCAAATGGTACTGTACGAGTTAATGGTCTTTAGTTAGATTAGAAAGAACCAGTACCATCAAAGCGTTGGTCACCCGAATTGATAAATTTAAATGTAATGTTGAAATAGCATTAAACTGCTGGACGCTAGTGACCTTCAACTCCAGTGTTTATTGCTGACCGATGGATTAATGGTAATCGTTATAATGCAAAGCAATTAGTTACTAACGCTTTTTATCAGTTACAACACAGTAGCAGTTATTCACGAATAAATTGCATCAGTTAGATAGTGCTAAATATGTTTAAGTGTTAACTATCACGAAATATGTTCCCTTTAAACGCCTCAGACTATTATACAGTCGATCCCGGTTAATCGGACCACATCGGGAAGCGATCGTTTTGGCCCTAATAACCGGCTGGTCCGATTACATTGCATAGGCCCTATGCTGTAAGACGGGACTTCCTATATGTAGTAAACAGTAAATGTACATGTAAATCATGTACTAAAATGTAATTATTAACTTTTTGGTGCGGTACACACGTATGGCGAACATACATGTACAAACAAGAAATACAGTCGAACATTTTTCATTGAGAAAATTAATTTAGAAACAAGAACAGATCTGAATGATACTCAGCATGCGAAGCACGCAAAAAACAAGTTCTTACCAAGTTTCAGTCAACATTTGAAGAACTTATACTATGTGGTCTGACGCGTTCTCTTGACGGATTGCACGTGAACGAAATCGCCACAACATCTAATGCAGCAATGGGACTGCCTTCATTTCAAAAAATTTCTTTATTCTGCATGAAATATCGACGCAAAAGTTTCAATGCATTTCCTCCCATCCTGTGTTGTCACTTGCACCAACTTATTAGTGGCATCATTATGATCACTTTCTTGGTCTTCCGATGCTGTCCTGTGCTTTCCTGCAACTCGAGCAACGATTGCAGCGTCGTAATCTTCATTTTCATCGTAGCATTGAAGATCGTTGTGGATGGATAAAAATTCTTCGCAATTTTTACCTGTTGAAGTTCCACATGTCTGTCATAATTTTCACTTTCAATGAATCACAATCAATTTCAATGTCCTCATCCATCTCCAAAACCAAGTGCTTAATGCCACGGTGAGAAAAACAGTTCTGAATTGTCTAACTGCTCACTCTTCGCCACCCGTAACTGCTTGTAAGATGTTGACCTTTGTACTGACTTCACTGGCTTTTGACGATGAGTTCAGCAAATTTTTTTAAATGCTTCAGGGATGTAATTAACAAACCTTGCACGATAAAGGGTCCTCAAAGTTTTGATTATGCCCATGTTCATTGGCTGGACCAAAGCTATGGTCCTGGGAGGTAGAAATTCCAGTTGGATGTTCTTCAAGCAATCTAAATGAGGATGTACTGCACAATTATCAAGAAGAAGCAGCACTTTTCTCGACTGGCGTTCTAGATCTCTGTCCCGATCCTTCAGTCATTCTTTAAAAAGTTCAAAGGTCATCCACGCATTTCTATTCGCACGATACACAACTAGTAAACTGTCCATCCTAAGTCCTTTAAAGCAGCCAGGCTTCAGTGCTTTTTCCTATAATCAACAGCTTCTTCTTGTCCGTTCTTGACATGTTTGAGCAGCACCAAGACATTTGCGCGATCCATCCGCTTTTTTGGAGACAGAGAGTGCAACATGTTTATGACTTAACGAGGCGTCCAGTGTAGCACGATAATACAGCCCAGTTTCATCAGCATTGTAGATGTCATCTGCTGAAAACCTTTCAAGAAATTCAGGCAGTTTTGTTGATTTCAAGTCTTCAGTATTTTCTTTCTCGCCATGTGCTTTCTTGAATTTTATGTCATGTCTAGATTTCCATCGAGACAACCAACCGTCCGTAGCTTTAAAGTTCATCGTGGCTCAGCTTTTTAGTGAGTTGTTCTGCTTTGCATTTTAACATTAGGCCGCTTACTTCTCATTAGACTTCTCTCATAAGCAGTATTTATCTAAATTGCTTGAATATAATGTAAAAAAAATTCAAAACTCTCTGCTGATGAGTGTATCTTTAAAATTAGTTAAGCCTCATTCAAAAAAACCATCAATCTGATCCAGTTCTTTACCTTACTTCAGCTGTCATTTAAGGTATGCAAAATGTTTGGTTGGTTAAATAAACGACAAACTACAGGAAGACTACATCCAAAGGGCTGGACTGTCTTCTGGAAAATTTCCAAAGAAAGATGTTACTTGGTACCTATACGAAGAAACGGAAGGTTGTTTGCACTTTATCGAAATGATTTTCTATTTAAATTTTCTCGTTAACTATTTGAGAGAAATACTTGGCATTTTCATTATAATCATCTACTACCTTCAATATATTCGTTTTGTTTTGATTGGAACGGAGGATAATAGATTTATTTTAGAAATGCCTCGTCAAGTTGATAGATGGGTCAAACATACATAAATGCATTATCCGAGGAGAGTTATCCGTATCAACAAATTGCAAAGAGGTTTAAAATTTGATGTTACACTATTTTAAAGAAAGGTATTTTAATGTACTAAATTTTAAAGGGAAAAAATGTCAAGCTGAAATTAAAAATGAAAAGTGCCCGTAAAACCACATCTTAGACTGTTCGAATATGGATAAATATCAAGAAAGCGAAGTCGCAGATCCTGAAAGAAAATTCCACGATCTCAAAATTCCATTGTATCCAAACTTGAATGTCTTTTCGCTCTGTAAGTAAGATTATTCATAAAGCTGGGAAGTTAAAATTAATTCACAAACGACGTATAAATGAGAAAGGCGTATAAGCGAAATTTAAAATTTCGATGTGAAACACATATATTACCTTTACACTTTGATATTACTAACATTTGATATTACACAATTTTATTACCGTACTTTCAATTTGTTTAAAATATTAACAATGTTGAAACAAATTTAAAATTAATACTTAAATAAATCTTTAATAAATATTAATATTTTAAACAATGTTTTTATAATTAATATTTTTAAAAAAGCAATAATAAAAATTTAATATTTTTAAAATCATAAAAATGCAGATTTCTCTACGATCTTTTTAGCATTTTATGTTTTTAAGATATGAATTTTATCTTTTATTTTGCATTTCGTTTCATGATACTTTGTGTCAGTTAATTAGCTCTACCCACTTTATTTAACACGGCATCCTGTTCAGAAGAAAAAAAGAACGTATCTATTTTCCCTAAGCATCTGTTCATGAACTGGTTTCAATTTCTGTATAAAACTGTGATGTCTCATGTCTTTATTTCCTTCTCTGGGAAAAATGCTTGAAAGGTGAGTCTTTGAAATATAAAACCAATGCGATAAGTCAAGGAAAAGCGACGCATAACCGCAGTTATGCGACGTATAAAAGACATATTTTGCTATTAAATTAAATAGGTCTGAATCGGGACCAAGGTTTAACTACGTATATATGTTAAAGACGTATAACTGAGAAATGTCTAACTGGTGCTTCTTTGTACTTGTAAAATCACCTGACACTTCTTTTATTAACACTTATTATTTAGATTTCATAAACAATCCTTAGGAAGACGGCATCCAAGAACACTGAACGGACTTTGGTAAACGACCAAGAAAACTGACATGGCGATACTATGAAAAAGTTTATTTTCGTGGAAAATTCGAGATAGAGCTATAATCAAGAATCAAAGCTATTATACAGGACCAAACCGCTGCAAGAAATAAGCCCCTTATGAGCAAAATTTACTTGTATAAAGTACGAACGACCTTCTATATTGAGTCTACTATATCTGATGTTCTTTTCAAGAATTACTGAGTGCTAATGCATTTTGAGTGAATTCTTCAGATTTTCTGCTATCTACACTGCGCAAAAATTTTAATAATAATAATAATAATAATAAATGGAACAGTTCTGTATCTCCCGTTCTATTGGGCCGATTGACGAAATTCAAATTGCGCTTGTTATGTCTCGAAAGCGCGACTTAGGATATATATTAGATTTATATACTATAGCATTATTCTGGCATAGATATTTTGACGCAAAATCGGACATTTTCTGAAATAATATGTCCATTTTTTTGCATATTTGGATTCTACGACTCAAATTATGCCTAAACATTAAATTTTGTAATTTTTGGTGAGAAATTTAAAATTTATCTTGCCTTTTTTTTTTTTTTTTTTTTTTTTTTTTTTTTAGTTTGCGCCAAGAATAATGTACATCTTAATTTATAGTAACCTACTTACTTTAATATTTTTCATTGATGCAAGAGAGGAGAAAAAGAATCCCATTGTTCATTCTTTCAAATAATTTTAACAAAGTCCGTAAACCATATTTTCGCTGTTATCGCTCATATTATATACGCCAAATTTCAAAACACGCCAAAATGTAAATTCACGTATATCTTAGGAAATTGCAGATAGGCTTTAAAATACATCTACTTTAAGATGTTGTTGAACATTTTAGAGCTTATAATACAAAAATGTTTTCGAAAACTTTATAAAAGATATTTAAAATTAAAATTTTTTTAAATAAATGATAAAACATATGCGAATTGTATTTGGATTAAGATTAAATTTCAAATTCTGAAAGAAGAAATCAAGTAACTTTAATGAAAAAGTATAGATTAATAAATATAAATCAAATTCAATTAAAATTGAGGAGCTAAAATTTTGAGAGCTAATTTTTAAAAAAGTACAGGTGGCATAATTTGAATTACAATTTTTACAAAACGTGGCAATAATTTGAGTCGTAGAATCGAAACATGGGAAACTTGGCATGTTCTTTCAGAAAAAGTCAGATTTTGTGTCGAAATATCTATTTTAAAACAATGCTATATACATAAATATAATACATATAATAAGTCGCACTTTTGAGACATGAAACACACAAGCTTAATTTTGTCAATCGACTCAGTAAAACGGGAGATGTAGAAATGTCCCTTTTCTTTTTTTGCGCAGTGTACGTATAAGTTAAGAAATAAATAAATCTCAAAATTATAAAAAGCTGGTATTAGCGCTTAATCCCCCTCTCTATTTTAAGAATAATAATAAAGTTTTTGCACTGCGTCATCTCTAGCTCAGTCTGTGGCACATGCCCTTGCATAACGCTGATGACGTAGCTAATTCAGAATCTGAACTCAAATTTCGAGTACTGAAACTTTTCTCTTTATAAAAGCAACTTAAAGGAAAACCTTCTCTTCTTTTAGCTTCTACATGTCTTCCTATTAAGAATTCCTATTTATTATTTCACCTTGCTCTCTTTCTATCGCAGCAGTATCAAAAATGAAAAATGTTCTTAAATTAGCCACGATTAGAATGCCAAGAAAGTGGCTGCAAATGTCAACTGAAATAAAGATGAATAAAGAAAAACTATTATCTGAGATTGAAATTATATCTATCTGTCAATGTATTATCTGCCACAAGATGGTTTATCTTACACGGCTGTCAAGTTCCCCTTCAATATGGATCTACGTTCTACTTCACCCATCTTTCTACGTCTCAGTGTTCCTACATCAGAACTTCTAAATTTTTTTATTACAGTGAATGAAATGCCACATTTGTCCAACTACACCATCAAAATTCATGCTCCTCATTATGGATATACAATCATTGTTTCTACGACATTCGATATTGCTAAGTCTTTTTCATTATACATATATTAAAAAAACTGACTAAACAAAATTTACATTAATGATTTTAACAATTTTCATAATAAGAGCCACGTGTATTTACACTGTTTTAATTGTGAGACTCGATATGAATATTTTGGACGTGAATTACACACGATCAAAATGAGCAGAATTTGTGTCTTTTATTTGCAGATTTTTATATCTAATTTATACTTCTAATGGGCTTTGTTTTCAATCTGAATATAAACTGCTGTATTCTCTGTTTCATGTTAAGTAGCTTAAAATCTTAAATACGCATCTTCAATAGGTTTTTCTTTAACTTTCTTTTAAAAATTTCGGATTCAATCATCTATGTATAACATATCTGCAACTAAACCACCAAATCTTCTTTTTTAAATGAAGTGGAGAAAACTAAAATTAAATTGAATGATACTACCTCTTCTTGTCCGACAGGAGAATTTATGTTTCTCAATTGTTACTTTGATCTTAAGGGTTAAATCCTCAAAGGATCTATGTACGTTCTTCGTTTATATAATGACTACTGAACAGTGAAAATTAGAATTTCCTCAAACATTGTAAACGCTGTTAACATTCACATAGATAATTACCTTTCTTTTTGGCACATTGTTCTTGCAAGATTTTCTTCTAACTCTTTATACGGTGAAATTTTCAAGACACCTCATTGCACGGTATTTCAGAATATTTATTTACGTTAATTTGATCGTTAACAGCTTTCATTTCTCATCAACATCAAGCAACGATATTAATAAAATTGTTAAAAATTCAAAGTAGTTTAAAATCCTTTTTTTCAGCACAGTTTTAAACTCAGAGGTAATGTTTCAATGGCTTAAAATTTAACTTCCCTTAATTCATTTTATTAAGCTCTAGATTCTCTTTCAGTTAAACTTACCTATTTTTTAATTCAGCATTTTTATTAAACAAATTTAAAATGCCATTGAGCACTAAAGCTGTTAAAAGTAGGACTCAACATTCAGTTTTTAATTCCGAAAAAGGTATTTCTAAAATGCATTAAGAAACAAACAACTTTCGACGCTTGCTTTCGAAATGCTGACAACTTGGAATGAGTACCTCGAAGGAAAAATCAACTTTTAACCAGGTACATTTCGAAGTATTTGATATAAAAAGCAAAGTAACTCTACCCAAAAAAAGTTCTTTCCTGCCCTAAGCCTTTTAAAGTAGAAGGCATTAATCACGCTCTGGTGCGTACGTCATGGTACGACTGTCACGTGATGACTGACGTCACGGCGAAAGAGTCCGCCATCTTA